TTTTAAGCATATTGAGCATAATTGCCTGCATGTATATAAGTGCACCCACGTTGCACAATGTCCTTGGAGGTCAGAAGAAAGCACTGGATTCCCTTGAACTGGAGTTACAGATAGTGTTAGCTATCATGTGGGTGCTGGGAACAGAACCTGGGTCCTCTGCAGAAGCAGCCAATGCTCTTAAATGCTGAGTCAGCTCTCCAGACCCTAAATTATTTTTAAACCTATACAAGCATCTGGTTAAAGTTAGAGCTGCACATTCATATAATCACTGAACGTTTTAAATAAAATACTTCAAGAATGTCAAAACATAGACTATACAAACATCTGTGTACTTAGTGCCACAATAGTGATACCTGAAGTGAAGAGTCAGAATGCAAGAGTCAGAATGCACTGACTCCATTTTGGCTATCTGTTTCAGGCAAGCCGGGACAAGCCCAGGCATGTTGAAAATTTCCAGTTGTTATCCGCCCCCCCCCCCCCAAGCTATAGGTTAAGCAGCCCCAGGCATGTAAAAGCCTTATAAGGTAAAAACAAAAACTTCTGACCCTACAGATAACAGTCAGCATATTCCAGTGCCCTGAAGACAGCCAATAAGGATCTTCCCCGTACTCAGGACATAGGGCCATCCAATCATTTTGAAGGATGCTTGGCACGCATGGGCTTCTATGAAACTTCCTTATAAAAGCTTCTGCCTGCTAGTGTTCAGGCCGGATGCCATCTTTGGCTTGTGGAGTCCATGCCTGGATAGCTGCCAATTTGGTTGTGTTATACTTTAAAGTTCTGAATAAAATTTTTATGCAGTTTTTTTGTGTGTCTGCGAGAATTATTCCCAACTCTCGAACCCTCACAGAAGCTCCCTACAGAGCCCCTTGTACCTTATTTCTGCCATTTCCTATACTAGTAATCTTCGTCACAAAGCTACTGCCCACGCATGTCTTATACTGTTACAGTAAATGTATTTAGAAACAATAGAATAAATTCTGCTGTATATTTTTAAAATGTTGTTATGTCTCTGAGATTTGCTCACTGTATTTTTCTAATTATGCAGGCTCAACATGTATCCTGTTGTATTGTACTCCTTTGTATAGATATACCATGATTTTGACAGGTTGATGGGAAAGAGGGAACAGAGAGTGTGGTAACTTTAGTTCTAAGGAGGATAAAAGGAAACTTTATCTGAGAATCAGAACTCAAAAGCCTTGGTAATTAGCTCTTCTTTGAATGGAAAACAGAAGTTAAAATCCAGCTATGTAGCAAGCTGGAGCAGAAATAAAGGACACTAAAATGCTGGAAAGCCTCAGGAAAAATCTATCTGAGGTAACTTTCTTATCTAGTAGCATCTTGCCTAGAAGGCAGTTCCCTGGACTTTTCTTGTCCATTGCTCTTTGCCCTATAAAGATCTTCCTCATCTCCTCTGTTACCTTTTGAACTTCATGTAAAACCAGACAGTGACTAGTTCTGGTCAAAATGACTGCAAGCTGCAAAATTAGAGGGTATCTAAATTATATTTTTCTAGACAAAACATAGTTTGCTTTTTTGCATGCTCTCAATAATGAAAAAGCCTATCTTCTTTCTCTTATTTATGAAAGTTTATTTTAAATATAGCATATGTTTCTGACTACAAATATAAAAGTTATCTTTATGCTTATTCAAAACAATACTCAAATATTTCACACAAAGCTAACAAATCCTATAAGTTTCAGAAAAATGAAAATGCAATTTAACCTTCAAGAGCCACACATTAAACTGGGTATGGTGGCACATGCCTTTAATCTTAGCAGGCAGAGGCAGGCAGATATCTGTGATATCCAAGGCAGCCTGATCTACATAAGGAGTTCCAGGCTAGCTGGGGCTACAGAGAAATCCTGTCTCAAAAAGACAAAAAAAAAAAAAAAAAAAAAAAAAAAAATTTTTAGAAGTAGCAAATATACCAAACTAAACCTTCTTTTTCTGAAACACCTTCCAAGTTCAACCACATGGCTTTAGGAGCAAGAACAGTGGGGCCTGTCCAGTTGCTCCTGTTAACATGGGAAAACAGGGACTCAACCAGACAGCAGGGAGAAAATCCCATCTTCCTGCAAGAAATCCTCAGAGTGGAAAGCCTTTACCAGGCCTTTATGCAGTAAACAAGGTAAGAGTTACAGGCTGAACAATAATGTATGTTGGCTAACATGGACATCTAATAAAGCTACAATTGCATCCTTCTTCATTAGATTTGTATTAAAATCACTCGCGCATTTGTTCTTAAATGCATTACTTTTTCTCAGTGCCATAAAGGAACTTGCCCAAGGAGAATAGTTACAGGCATTCTGGGTGGTGTTTGCTGAAGATGCTGAGTGGCATGGGGTCCTGAACAGTCATATCAGGCACCATTAATTTTTTGAGAGATAACGGCAGTAAACAGAAAATACAAGATAGCATGTTTATTTGGTATGTGTGGGGGTCTTCATTTATAAGTATTAATTTTCACAAAATTTACCGAAATAGGTAGCTTTATGTTTGAGAATGCACCACGCTTTATTCCCATAATCTGATAAATCAATGGATTTTTATTACAGAAGGGATTTTAAATGCCCCATATAATTCAAAGCATGCCCTCCAAATAAACTTATTTCATCATCCCTTTTCATTATAATGAAATCCCTTATTTCATTATATCTTTTCGCTCTCTCAAGGTAAGGAACAAATATTTTCTTTCTGTATGATGTATTTCACCTCAACTCGGGCCATCAGCTAACATTAACAGAAATGAGACTTAACAGTGAATGGCAAAATGGTTCTGAAATATATACAACATATTTAATTTCCTAATTAGTATGAGCTTTTGATAGTTATTGGAAATATAGTAATCTAAGGGGAATTATTAGAAAGTCTAAATGCAAAATCTAACAAAAGTTCTAAAGTTGTCAAATAAAGCACAGAAGAAAAATCCAGAGTGTTTAGGAGTCAGTGAAAGTAGAGAGAAAATAAGACTTTTTCCTACAAAGATATTTCATGTAGTTTTTCTATTTTTCTCATTTATAATTTCTCATTATGACAAGAAATATCAAAAGTTGAACTCTTCAAAATTTCTGAAACTGAGTTTTAATCATTAAGTACTCTGGAAAGCATTTAATCCTAATGCATTTCCTAATGTTAAGGATCAAGCCATTAACCTCTAGTCAAGAAGAGAAACTAGGAGATAGACCTGGATTTTGAGGAAATTATTTTAAGAAAATTGATCCATTATCCACTTGGCAGCCAACTTGTTTCAAAAAGAGAAAGTAAAAAAAAAAAAAATGAAATGGAAATAAAATGTTCACAGATCATACAGTTTAGGTTTCTAGATGCAAAGTCTAGAATTTTCCAAAATTTAACCCAGGAGATGAATCTTGTCAAGAGTCACCATATAGTTTTCTATTCCTCTACAGTTGGAATCTTATCATATCAATTAAATTACATTACATTTTTAAGAAGGAACTGCTCTACAAACTTCCTTAGTATAAACCAGACCCCCCCCCAAATCCAAAGATTTCAAAATCAGTCCTGACTTAGTACTAGTTGATCAAAAACAAACAAACAAACAAACAAACAAACAAACTTACCCAAGGGCTGGAAAGATGGCTCAACAGGTAAAAGCACTGACTGCTCTTACAGAGGACCTGGGTTCAATTCCCAGCACCTACATGGTGGCTAACAACCGTCCATAACTCCAGTTCCAGGGAATCTAACACCCTCTTGCCTCTGCAGGCATTGCACACATAGTGCACTTAATACATGAAAGCAAAATACTCATACACATAAAATAAAATCAATAATTTAAAAAAATTTTAAATTCACCCTAAATGTGGTGAAATATTAGGGACAATTCACTAATGACTAATGAGTAGAACTATGATATATACAAATATATAATTGACCTTAAAAATCAAAGATTGAGCCCGGCATGGTGGTGCACGCCTGTAGTCCCAGCACTTGGGAGGCAGAGGCAGGTGGATCTCTGTCAGTTCAAGGCCAGCTGGGGCTACAGGGAAACCCTGTTTCAAAAGGACCAAAAATAAAGATTGAGCCAGATGTGGTAGCACATGCCTTTAATCTCAGCACTGGGGAAGCAGAGGCAGGTGGATCTCTGTGAGACTGATTACATAGTGAGTTCCAGGCCAGATGGGGCTACAAGGAGACCCTGTCTCGAAAAACCAACCAACCAAACCAAACAGAAACAAAAAACCAAAAATAAATAAATAAATAAAAAATCAAAGGCTGAAACATACTATGAAGAATCAAGTCAAGGGGTATTTGAGAAATGGCTTAGTGGTTAAGAGGGCTGGCCGCTCTTGCAGAGGACCTGGATTCAGTTCCCAGCACCCACATGGCAGCTCACAACCATCTGTAACTCCAGTTCCAGGGGATCCTACACCCTTCTTTGGCCTCCTCTGGCACTCAGGCATGTGGTTCACATGTATACATTTAAGCAAACAGTTGTTCAAGTAAATAAAAATAAATAAATCTTGAGAAAAGCAAAATCAAGTCAAGGTCCATAAATTTGTCTGTTCAATAAGACCTAGATCTAATAACAGGACGTTTAGCTGACTCAAAGGCTTCATCCATTCAAACACAAAAGTATACCACTGATTCTGCATAAAATCCACAATGAAAAGAACAAACAGAGATTTCCAGAACAGGGACAAGCACTACACTAATTCCTGATTGAGATCAACTTGTATTATCTGCAGACCAAATCACCTTTTTTGCTTGGCCATATAATGGGATTTTTAAAGCTTACAATCCTCTCAGGAATAAATAAGCATTTTGGTTTACAATGCCCACAAGCAACGGATCCTGGAAATTATAATGAAGTCTTTGCTGTTTGACTTTTATCCATAAATTCAATGTTATTTTGTTTTCTTGATTCCGTAGCTCATCATAAATTTTGCAATTGCCACTGAAGCCCAACAATTCAAGAATAATCACATTACAAACTAGGCAGAAAGAAAACAAGGAAATGGAGAACTACTACTTACAGACTTCCTCTTCGGGGGAGACTCAGCTCCTTCTGCAAGAGAAAAGAGAATACAAATATAGGAGATGCCACACCAACTGAGATTATCAGGGTACCAAATAAGTAACAGAAATGTACATCCTTTATTAGACTTGCTTTGGGATTGTCTAGATACCAAAGACTTTAATGCCATAATTTTATTGGATGCTTCCCAACACTGCTCTCTTTATACAAGGTAAATAGGTTTAAAGGGATGGTTTAAGGTACAGTTTATCTGAATTCTGGAGCACAAAACCAATGGATCCTCTCAAAGCAGCTGAAGTAAAATATTGAACTGAGTGGTAGTGTCTTATAACTAAGCTTAAGGAAAACCTAAAGAACTAAGGGTCTTATCCATACAAGAATAGACAGTGGGGAAAAAGTAGGAGATTATAATTAAATCAAAGATGAAAAGGGCAATTAAATCAGACTATTAAATCGGGCTAACTTACCCTCCAATGAAACAAATTTAGGCAAAACATTATGCATGCCAAATATTATACTTAATTATTTTAAAAAGATCCTGCTAAGGGTTTCCTTTTGTAATTACTTCTTAAAACAAATGACATTTATTACTGAGGTATTGAAAAGTAGGTTAATGAACCTCTAAAAGATAACCAGACAGCCACAATTACCAGTGTTTACAGTTCTAGAAGGATGCTCTAACACTTATCTCAAATTAAGATCATTATCTATAGAATCTCAGAGAGGCAGGTGAGAGGGCAGGGGGTAATCCAACCAGGCAAGTAAGCAAACAAACCACACAAACAAAAAACTGACTCAGAAATGCTTCCACCCACAAATGATGTTCTAGAAGCCCCACTCCTTAAGGAGCATTACTTGATGACAATAATTAAAGAAAAGGAAGCCATGAGTCAGCTGCCTACTTAAACTCAAAAGAGCTCACTACAAATTCAGACGACTCTAAATTGGGTTATACACCTCCAGAATTTTCATTTACTTTTTGCCTTCCTGGAGCTCTAGTATTATCTTTGGAAAGGTGTTACCCAACCCTCACACTCACCTCACCTGTCCTCTATTTTTATTGGATCCTGAATGTTTGTCATGGTTAGACATTTCTTAGTGCAGTTTACAAACCACAATTTCTTAATGCAATTTCCTCCAGTACACCTTAGAGAATGGCCTTGAGAACATCTGCTCAGAGGGTGATCAGCAAGCTCTGTGACATGGGCTTTAAACATAAAGATGTTCACCAGTAACTGTAAAAATGTTTCCATACATAGTTATCATAATCATGTCCCAATTTAGTAGCAAGAAGAGGAATTAATAATTTCAGGAGTAGAGTGCCTTTCCTCCACAATAACTAACATTTTCTTTTTGAGGGTTCCAGATTTCATTGGCAAATGCTTTATTTTTTGTTGTTTGTTCTTACTTTTTTTTTTTCTTCAATCTTTGATTATCCTCTAAGAAATTATAGTGTTTGCTAAAGCTGGCTTCCTGAGTCTGAAACATAAACACACCTTCGCTAACTAATGACAAGAAGAGTCTTTAACTAAGACAGTTTCCTCTGGAGCTGAATGCACATAAAAAAACCAATGAGCAATTTTCTGTATATGAATCTTTGATTATGTAAACATTAGAAATTAGTTTTGTAGTCAGTTTTATTTAAAGACCTCCCTAAATATAATAGTTCATTGAATTGTTTCTTTTAGAAATGAGATGCCTTGCACAGCAAGAGGCCTAGAGCCCAAATGGTTGCCACTGCTCTGACAGTACGCTAATCCCATGGTAGCATAGAGGAAACCTGCAGTAACAGCATTAGGAGCAAGCAAGTAATAAATCGGATGCTATTCCAACTTTATATGCAAATGATCACTTGGAAGATAGAAGAGGGAAAGGGTGCAATGAATGACTCCAATAGTTCAATCAATCACACGCCCCCAAATGCCTTGACCATAAACTGACTATTTTGCTCTTAGAAAAGCTGCTGAAGCAGCAAGATAAGGGACAAAACCCAACTCTGTTTTTAATCAGAAGTCTTTCCAATAGGCCTGGAATTATGAGTTCTAAACATGGAGAAAGGTTACAGTGGGTAACACAGCTCCACTGCTCCACAGGATGGCAGCTGAGTTTCTAAGATGAGGAGCAGAGGACATTTAATAAGCCACTGTCAACTGACCTGAAGCCACCACACTAACAAAGCTGAAGGAGCTAATCCACCTGACGGCTTGAATGTCAGGCTCAGGATGGGAAACTCAATTTGGTAGCAAATTGGAATCAGATGTGATGGTAATAAAGCGAGAGAAATGAATGTGCCGTGGCCAAGACCTTGTGAACAGTAGCTACACGAGTCTGCAAATACCAGGTGGCTAAGCGATTGCAGGCCGAGCAGGGAGCAGCTACTGCTCTAATGTATGGAGACCACACACTGATAAATCTGCACAGGTCAGACCTCAATGAACAGCACCAAGACATTTTACCACCTAAGACGGCGGTCCTCTGTGAATGTGTCTTCATTTGATTTTCTTAATGTCAGGATAAGGTCACTACCATACACTTGGATAATTAGATAAGACATGTGGTATTGGTCTAAGTCATAAACCAAAGCTAGCATTTGGTATAAATGGAACGTGTTAAAATTTGTTAGGCAAGGACTGGAGATGGAGAAGAAAAATAGGATAAAAAGAAAAAGAAGGGGCAAGAAACAGCCATCTGAACTAAACAATGTTTATTAGTTGCCCCAGGTTAAAGCAACTCTTAAGAACATACTTTAAAAGACTAAATTTTAAAAATTATTTTCACTGATATTGATTGCTTATTATGTTTCCAGCTTGGGTTTTGGAGACAGGGTCTCACACTGTAGCCCAGGTTGGCATGGAACTCATAGCAATCCTCCTGCCTCAGCTTCTTGAGTGCTGGGATTACAGGAATAAACTACCATACCTGTTCTCAGTGGCTTAATATTTTTTAGGATGCTATCTACCTTTATTTGCTTAATATTAATACATTTATCCATTTTCTAAGATTGTTAATAAATACTTATGTTTAAAAAAGTCTGAAGCCAAGCGTGATGACATATGCTTTTAATCCCAGCACTCGGGAAGCAGGGTGGACCTCTGTAAGACTGAGACCAGCCTGGTCTATATAGGGAGTTGTTTCAAAAAAGACCTCCCAAAAGAAAAAAAGTCTGAAGTATAATTAATCCTGAGATCTGTCGTTTTCTTACGATCTCTTGATAAGATTGAGAGTGGTAATACAGGATGCACACCAAGAGCCCCAGCACCTAGGAGCGGGGAGCAGGAGGACTTCTTGATCTGAGGGAATTAAAGCTAGCCTGGGCTATAATAGAAAGACCTCTGTCTCAGAAAAGAGAAGAAAAGAAAAGAAAAGAAGAGAGAGAAAGAGAGAGAGAGAAAGAGAGAAAGAAAGAGAGAAAGGGAAAGGAAAGGAAAAGAAAAAATTCATGGAGAGCCCAAGATGAGAAAAGAAAAGCAATGAGTTGGTGTACTCTTTCCCAGACAATCTCAGCCTCAAAAAGAAACAAACAACAACAACAACAAAATTGCTTTATTCACAAGGAAAGCAAACTGCAATGTTTTCACAGGGGTAATTTTAACAATATTTATAGTATTTAAGTATTGGGTGTCATACATATATAAGCAAAACAACAATACACTTCACATATTTAGAGAACTTTGGAACTATTAATAGATCAGTAAATTGTGCTGTATAAGTGAGTAGAGATGTAGAGAAATCTAAACAGTATTGTAGATACCCCCTCTGTCAAGTAGAAAGTTTAATTTTCTTCCTCCTGAGGATGCACTGGGACCCAGTGACTCCCTTCCAGAGCAGCGTATGGAAAGAAAACAACAGCAATGTTTTTACAATGGAGTACCTCAGACAATATCTTGACCAAGTGATTACTTAGCATCTCAGCTGGCAGTGGTACGTTGTGCTGACATCAAGCACCCTGTGATCCTGTGATGGATCACATCAACTTGGCGTTCTCCTTAAAAATCCCTAACTCTACTTTAATCACAAAAATGCATCAGGTAATCATAAATGGAGGAACATTCCAATATCCCTAAAACCATCAAGGCTCTGAAAAATGTGGGATAATTTTTTAAAAAGAACTAGAAATCAAAGATCACTAATGAGATACGATGGCTAAATGCAATGTAAAATCTTGACTTGGATTCTAGACCAGGAAATAGACTTAGTTGAAAGCCTAGTGATGAAAGTCTATAGTAGAGTTGTTAGCAATGCACCAATGTGAATTTGGTAGTTTTGAAAACTATGTTAGAGCTATATAAGATGTTGGGACTTGGGGAGACTAAGAGAGGGTATACATGAAATCTCTGCAATTATTCTACATTTATACACCTCCGAATTAAGTATATCAAGTCGGGGATACTGGGAATTGTAAAGGAAAGAGATGAACAAATAAATATTTAAATATCCTAAGTTTATTTGAAGGCCGTATTAAGTCCAAGATTTAGACATTTATAGAAATGGTCTCAGTGAGAGAAAACTGTGTGCAGGGCCAGCAGGAAAGATGGTGCGAGGTAACCAGACTTGAGACATGCTTTTATAGACTAATCTAAAGAACTGGATGTGGGGCATGAAAGAAAAAAGCAGAGTCAGAATTTGGGGGACCTGAATATATGAAGTTTGATGGAACAGAAACTCAGCACAAATGTGTGACAGTTAAGACCATCTGTCCATACAGGAATGCCACATACATATTCCCACACAGGCAAATGATTCTGTGAATCTGCATTCAAGAATGGGTTTGGGGCTGGAGAGACTGTGGAGTTCTCAGCACATCAGATGGCACAAAGAACAATAAGACTGGACAAGCAGGAGAGAAGAGTTAGAAAACAGAGATGAGATTGCCAAGATACAGAGCCATGGAGAAGTTGGAAGACCATGTGTGACATTGCTAAGGATGTTGTACACTAGCAACAGCAGAGCTCTTCAAAGCAATGGAAACAGAAGGAGGCTGAGCAGTAAAACCTCTATTTTGTGAGTTAACACCGCACTCTGTATAGTGG